TATATATATATATATAAATATATATATATATATATACATACATACGTACATACATATATATACATATATATATATACATACACACATATATACACACATACATACATACCAACATGATATAGATATTTGCTCTCTATCAGGTAGTACATACCCTTGCCATATGCCCAGCGTGCTGGAAGGACAGTTCTGCAGGTCCATCCTCTGCATCTTCGAAGGTTTGTTGAGCACCAATGTCCGATACATTCCAGATGAATACCCTGTGCCAACGAAAAGATGTTTTTAAACTGGTCGAAATATGATGCAAAAATACTACTATGTAATAGTAAAATAAGCTGGTAGTATGACCAATCACACACGGGTCAGCACCTTGTATTTCCCACCTCTGGCGATTACGTTAACTTCTGCTCAATCTGCAGTTAGACACATAACATACTTCAACTGTGAATCGACAACAGTTCAGTTAGCGTTGTACGATGACATGCACGAGAGCTCGTGAGGTGGCCACTTCGGCTAAAGCTAAGAGCGTAGCTAGGAGATAACCAGTGCTGTAAACGACCATTTTATCGTGTGGAATAGGAAACGCCACGCTAAAATGCAATGCCACACAAAGTGCTTTCAGAAACAAATGCGCCGCTTCGTAACGTGACCACCTCCAACTAGCATGCCTAAAATCCAAAGGCATCTGCCTGATAACACTCCACCACCCCACCACCTACTCATAACCACACGCACAAGCACACATACTTCGGTTCACAAACACGAGCAACAACGGGCAAGCTCAAAACCCAGGGCCTACGTGTACATAGTCGATGACACGCATACAATAACCCACACTCGGCAGTCAGCCCAGTAATACCTGGCATCGGTAGAGCCGGAGAGGAAGTACGTCTCGTGCAACGGCGCCCACTGTACCTGGAAGACTTCGTCCTTGTGGTGTTCAAACACGTGCAAGGGCTGATCAAAGTGTCGCAGATCCCACAGCTTCACAGTCTTGTCCGACGATCCAGTCAGGCATAAATATGGATTATATGTGTTGAATGACATGCAATTGACATCTCCCTCGTGGGCTGTGACTGTCTGTGCGGGCGTGTCCTTATTTTCACTGCGCGTGTCCCATACATTGAACTTTCTGTCGTCACCTACTGAGCCAAATACGAATTCGTTGTTTGGTTGCCACTCCACATCTGCCACTGGACCTTTATAGGCGTTGTAGATGGCACGGCAGGGGTTGGGGGTATTGATAAGTAGTTTTGTGAGTGTGTGAGTGTGTATGTAAATTTTGAAGTGCACGAGAGCGTATATAGATTGGATCTGTTGCATCGCCGTAAATAAAACTTGTATGAATCATCTCGTGGAAGAAATGATAATTAAACCATAAACAACCTACGCAGGTGTATGCAGACATCAACGTTCGCCTACACAGACAGAAACACAGTAAGCGAAGAGATACACACACGCATAGCGAAGTCCAAATACATATTAACATACACAGTCGACAATCTACTTATACATGCATAAAAACCCGCAGGCTACACTGCTTATCCCGACAAACACGTGTAATACCACCCACATTCAAACGCATGTATATTGTACAAGGCAGCATGCCATACAATGCACATCACCTACCCGTGCATACTATACATTAGCACGTAGTATACAAGCGGGATACAAAATACACCACGCACAAGCGTGTGCTTTGAAATAAAACAGAAACCAATTCACAAGCACTGCACATGATACTGACCATTTGCTTCGGCTCACGATTCGTCAACATATATATATATATCAAAACACAGGCAACAACCATACACGCTATATGGCATGCCACAAACCTGCATGTGCCTTGAACGTTAAATGTGCTTTGTAACTCTTCCGCGAGAAATCACCCAGCTCCCACAGACAAACAAGGCCGTCGTGAGCGCCGCTCAACAACTGACCACTCTTCTCTATATTCCAAGCCAGCGCATAACCCTCCTGTGAACAGAAGGTGCACTCGTCGGTAGCAAGGGGTATATGAGTGAATAGGAGGACCTGGATTGACGAACAACCCCACCGAAACCAATGGCGGTAGGTATGTTTGCTCCACTTATGCACCGGTCACCAATGTGAATGCTGCACGCCACACGATGTCAAAAGGCACAATGCTGTAAATACTCAATATAGCTGAGGCTTGGATGCTACAACGCGTTAATTAGAGATATAATTGAAACCACATAGTAACGGGATGTATATATCAGCAGTCCTTTGGAGTACTGCCATACCGAGTCTAGTACCTCGTACATGTGTGCACACATACTCATACATAGGCGTACTGTATATCGATATTTCTTGTCCACACAGAACATACATAGTCAGGTAATAACCCCTAAACAACTTGTACCACATTTAGTACTACTACCACGCACCTCTGTGTGGCCGTGCAGGATGATAGGCTCCTCTTTGGGCTTGTCGAAGTAGGAGACAAACACGTCTGCATCACTGGAACGACTGGCAACCCGCATCGGATTCTGAGGCATATACCGCGCCTTGTTCACCTGAAAGGGAAGGCAACCAATACACAGATATTCAAATATAAGCTAGAAGTATTTCATCACAAACTGCCCATCTACGTTACCCCGAGCTTGCGTGGACCACCTACATTGTAGAGACGAATAAGTCGTTGGAATCGGTGGGATCAACATTTGTTGACTGCACTGTGTGTTGTATGTGTTGATAATGTAATCGAGTGATTCTAGTCTCGTGTATGACCGACCGTAAACGGCACCTAGTACACAGCACACACAAACATACTGAAACACCTCTGCACCTCACTACAAACTGAGAAATTTACAAAGTGTACTGGACTTATCCGACAGGTGTTAGGAAAATTCTGATTATACTTTAATATGTGTTTATATACATAATGGGCATCCAAAAAACACACACAAACCCAATACCATACATGCACACTCGCTCCTGACTTCCGATTCTCCAACAGGTACATCTCAACCGCATGCAGTACACAACCTTCATTTAATTTCCTCCTATGGCATGAAATCCTATCAATAGAACGTTTTCATGCACTACAACTTATAAGCCCATAACCATGCTGTACCTCTCCTCTGTGTTTAATCTTCTTTTCAATCGTCAGCGTGCCTTCCTTACGGAGGTAAGGGTCTGAGAGCTCTTGCTTGGCCTTGGTATATGGCTGATATAGCTGTGCGATCATCAGGTAGTTCTCGGTGGTGGCGGCCATTTCACTGTCGGCATCGAATGTGGAAGTACCGAACAGTAGGCGTTGATGGTCGTCATCTGAGTGGGTTGGGATAGGGGGTGGATTGATGCATGCATGCAAAGTTAGGGTTATTAGTGAGGCGTGTATGATTAAAAGCAGGAGTGGGCTGGGATAGGAGGTGGATTGATATATGCGTACATGGATAAGGTTACTTAGTGAGGCGTATATGATTGGAAAGCAGGAGTGGGTTGGGATAGGGGGTAGTTGATGCATGCGTGCATGGTTAGGATTGCTTGGCGTGGTGTACGGGTGGGATTGTGATCCCCAGTGAGATGTGAATGATGGGCAAACAAGAATGGGTTGGGCTGTATTTTGCATCGAGCTCAGCAGTGGATGAGAATGCTCACAATGCAATAGCCAGCTTGCTCTATCGCAAATATATGTGTCATTGCAAAAGGTTTGCCGATGCACAAGCAAGCACACAATTGTGCATACTGAGCTAGATGAAACAAGTGCACGTTCTAGTGAAATATCAATATATCAGAAAAGCGACACTGTCAAAGAGAAATCTCTTTGTCTTAAAACAAACTACTATACAACGTGGCTTCCTGCACTTTCCTGAATTCAAAAATACATGTATATTAATATATATATATATATTAATCAACGACATAAGGATACGATTAAACACAACGTATTGGGTGGGCCTATTTCAAGCAAATAGAAGATGCGTCCTACACTCCATCGAAACAAACGTAATTAGCAAGAATTCAATGTAACGTCCAAAATTAAAGTGCTGTCTGTAGTGACGCGTCTATAGTTATTGATTGCTTTCTTAATGAAGTCGATCAACATCTACCAGGATTGGGTATCGTGACGATCCGCTATCGCACACCAAGTACAATGCACTACCACAAAGTGTATAATCTGCTCGTTTATACTAAACTGCGAGCATATGCACTGGCTAACTTAACCGTTTAACCATCGTACTACTCTATCTATATAGTTTGCTCTCGCAATTAAAAATGGTTTGTCCTATATCCGATTGGCTCAAAATCCGGCTGACTAACGCGTAGCATGACCTGCAGTACACGCTGTTCGGTATCTACTACTTCGCTCGTAGCGTGCGCGTACGACACAAACAGAAAAATAATAAGTGAGCGAACTTTGATCACGCATCAATCTCTTGTATTTGTGCGTTCAAAGTGTGCTAACAATATTGATGCATAGAGGGGTGTATTCACCTACAGACGCTTATGAAATGTGTATGAAAAGTGTTTCCAAAATGTGAAAGCGCTGTCAAAAATACTTGTGGTCTGCACAGACACAATCACAAGTAAACAATGCACAAACAATGGAGCTCATTAACAAGGAAGAAGTACTAAAACTTTAGCACGTAAAGAGGTTTCGCCTCTGCATTGCGTACAAAGTATTTGCTGTATGCCTAAAGACATTTTCTCAGTCTAGGTTGTAGATTTGGAAGAAACTTAATCATGGCATAAGTTTCCATAAATATATCATTGACAAACTTGTACCGACACATGCATGACGGTAGACATTACGTGAACAGGAATATATGAATATTACAAGAAAGTAAGAGTCACATACTACGATATATAACGCATATATAAAAATCTTCAGCATCGCACGTGGCATTAAACGAACATGCAGTCAGTAAGACTCTCGGACGAACATTATTACCCTTGGAAGTCAGATAATTAATCGAATGTTCGCCCAGCAGAGTAACAAATCATTCCAAGCTTTGCGCTCTCGAAAGTTAACACAGCATCGTCCCGAATACAAAGACTCGGAAGACGGAAAATAAACATACTCAGGCGCCGACGGTACCCTTCGCTAGGCCTGCTAGGCCTTCATTGTACAGTGTATGATGGCCGTGTCAGCTCACATTGTATATAACATGCAAATAGACAGATGCATACACAACAAACGACTTGGATGTACAGTGTAACACTACCCAAACACTTATGCACATATAACACACACACACATATATATATATATATATATATATATATATATATATATTATAATGCGTGTGTGTGCGTGTGTATACACGTGCGAGTGTGTGCGTAAACACGTGTGTGTGTATACGTATGAACGTGTGTGTATACGTAAACCAAAAATCTTTCGGAATAGTGGATTGAAACCAATATTCACTAAATATCTTCCACATACATATTTGTATACATTCAGAAGTCAATCTTAGCCATCATTTTGAACATAAACACACTGAAGAGTCAACACTAACCTTCGCCAGGCCTACTGGGCATCCATTGCACAGTGAGTGACGGGAGTGTCAGTTCTTCCTCAAACAACCGATCGTACAGGAAGTCTGAGTTAGTTTCCCACACCAAGTGATCCTCCTTCGTCTGACGCTCCTCTTCACTGAGGTCTTCGGATGCCATTGTAAACTACTGTGAAGTGTTGTTCCGAGCTAAAGGTTTGTCAGATCAGTAGATGTTGTAGTGTGTGTTGTGTGTGTTGCCTATGTTGAGTGAATTGGCTGTGGTATCGTGCGATGTGGTGTGTGTAATCTGAAAGGGACGCTATACGAATGTGACTGTTGACAACGAAGCTGCAAGTACAGGGTTCGAGTGTATCCCTTGTACATGTGTAGGTACACTAGACTAAAAGCCACCTCTCTCTTGTTATCGTGTGAGATATGCAACCAAGTGTATCTAGTATCGTGCGTGTGTGACTTTCGTGTCACCTATCACCTTATATAAGTACATATACAAACATATGTGGGCTAATCGTATTTAGTGTATAATGTAGTACTTAGTCTTTCAATATTTACCTTTTTACTTTGAAACAGCAACGAAACCAGCGGCAGAGAGTAAGTCCATTTCTCGCGCCAAAAGTAATTCTGAAAATATGATGACCAATGCAAAGCATAAATGTGGAGACTATAACTCATAATATTCTAGGCCTTTTAAAGGGCCTAATGTATAATATTATTTATGTAGGCCTGCACCCCTGCAGAGTGCGGACAGACGCCAGTCGCCAGACTAAAAAATTATCGGAAAATCCCGCTGGACAAAATGGGCCCTCTTGTAAATACTCGCCTGTGCCAAAAATAGAGTGAACATTGTGAGTTCGAGACCTTGAGCTTTATAATATATTCTACTACTAAATATCTATATTTACATATGTATAGACTTCGCAGAAATAGGTGCATCGTTTGTGTAGTATCTTACATACACTGGTAACTATGTTTGCACGCCAACTCACTACGCGACTGTTACGCCTCCCTGCTGCGGTTCTGCAAGTAGCACCGGCTTCTAGGTCATACAGTAGTGCATTTGGAAGACCATGTATGTCATATATTCCTGTGAGCGAAATGAGCGCGTATTGGTTTGTACGTTATTGTGCTATAGGGTCTATCGTGTGAGTGTACACGTCTGAATATCTGTGGCCGTATAAAGATGACTAGGGTTATTAGATGATCGGAAGTATATATCTATATGGAATTGAAATTATACAAGTTTGACCAAGAAGGCGCACATACACATGAAGTTCTCATAAGAATAGTGTATATATGTTTATCTACACAAAACATTCTTACACTTGTATATTCGTGTACCAGCCCCACCACTTCATAGACCTTATTATATCGGTAGACTAATATTGATGAATCAGGGTATTAATACAAAGTAGCAACATCATCAATTCGGCATATGGTCGCAAAAAAGAAAAGGCTATATGTCAACTAGTTTTGCAAATACTAGCTATACTCTTCTGGCATATATATATATATATATATATATATATATATATATTATAT